AAATGTGATTTAAGTCAAATGTGCAAAAGATGGTTTCTCAGTACTATAAAGTTTTTTATAGTTAATTAAGATATGATAACAATGCTTTATAGTTGTAAATATCTAATACAAAGTGTTTCGGTTTTACTAATTATAAAATGAATTTTTCTGTTACATATTGGTAATTCATAATTGAGTAGGTACTTTACAATCTTACTAGTGTATTGGATTATATAACATTTGTATAAAGGAAAAGAAAAGCTTTCATTTTGGGTTAATAGCTCAAAAAATATGACTCTAGTCAAACCCCTCTGTAATTTTGTATTTTCCTACTATGGAAATTCACTTCACACTACTTAATTTATTTGTATTTTCACATAATTGTCTCTTAAAATGGATCATAGATTGGGAATTAACTGCTGAATGGTCAAATAAACCAATAAACTATTAATTTGCCCAGCAGTTTATATCTATTCTTAGCACGTGCAAGAACTTTGTACATGTGCTTTCCAGTTGTAGATGAACTTGGATGGACATTTATGGTGGTTTGATTGCAGTAATGACCCCAATTTGTTCACAGCTTTCTGTGACCATACCATATCTCCCACTAGGACTTTGGGTTTGCTCGTGTGACTTGCTTTGGCCAATGGAACAGTAGCAATCAAATATGATGCAAGCAAAGATAGAACATACTTGCACATTAATACTTATTCACTTGTGCTTCACGTGCTGCCACATGTAAATAAGCTCTCCTAGCCTGTGAATGATAAGAGACAAATGGGTCAATCATTTCTAGTACCCCCAGCAAATAGGGAGTCAAATTCCATACCAATGTTGTTAGGCCATCTTTGATCATCAGCAATCTAGTGAAGATTTGCAGAACCTTTGCAGACTGGCATAACAGTTCATTTGACCTGTGGACTAAAGAATAAGAAGTTGTCCTTTTAGGTCATTATGTTATGAATTGGCTTGTTACACAGCAAAAAATAACTAATATGACTTGTATAGGAAGTTGATAATTGAACAAAAACACCTTTTCAAACAACATTAACATTTTCATATTATATATTTGTTGTTCTATTAAGATCCTTTATAACTGCATTTTCAGTGTAGGAAACAATCTTTGATATGACTTTCTTTCTACCCTTGGCTTTATAGATATCCCAAACATTTGTCCAATCAATAAATAACAAGTAGGCACTAAGTTGGTGCCTGGTCCAGCTTCAAATGCAACAATTTTATAAGCTAAGCTTCTATTTCTATGTTTGCTGGGTAGTTATAATATACTCTGTTATACTTGCCACAAAAATTCTTTGCTCTTCTAAGTGAAACTGAGTTCCAAGGTTAACTCCATCTTATGCATTTCATTGTATCTGACCTCAATTCTTCCATTCTTCCAGAAATTCTGTATTAATTCATTTTGTCCATATTTCTATGTCTCTTTCCTTTGGAGAATTATGGTAACACTGCATTTCCCCAAATGTGGTAAACTGAAAAACTGGCCACAAGAATTGTGTAATTCCCTCTATCCATGCCTTTTTACAATGTGACTTGCAAATCCTTCTACTAAGAGGTAGACTCTGTTTACCCACATTGACTCTGGGTTTGGCCATGACTGGGGCAAATGTGATCCAAGCTGAGACTTGAAAAGCACTTGTAGGCTGGGGATTGCTCTCTCACTGCTGTGTGGAACCCTATGACTGTGCCACCATGCAAATAAACCAAGCCCTGGTTTGTTTGTTCCTTGATGACAAGGAATACTGAGATCTGTTTTCCCAGATGACAATCAACTAACTTCAGATACTGAGCTACCTAGCTGACAAGTCGCTGCCCACACCTAAGTGGGCCAATCAAGGGTTGAAAAAATATCCAGTTTAGTCTCGCACAAATTATCATTCCATAGACTCATAAGGTAAATAAACATCTGATTTTTTAGGATATTAAGTTTTGGGATGGTTGGTTATTCCCTCAAAGGTATCTAATATATTGTTTCCTCAAAATTAGTCATGGGTGTATAATTTGCTTTATCCATTGAAATGTATCACTTCTATCAGAAGCCTTTAAGAGCTGGACTATGATTCCACATCATTGTCCTCTTTTCATGGTGACAGGGGAACTTTCAGATGGTGGAGCTCCATAAGTTCTGGATCCTGAATGGACATGGAACAGTTCTCTCCATCTTCTCCCACACTGACCTATTATAAGAAATAAACCTTTGCATTAAGCCACTAAGGTTTTGAGTTTGTGTTACTGGAGCATAATGTAGGCCATTCTGCCTAAATTGGTAGAAATTTAATAGCCAGAAGAATGTAGAAATTCATACCCAGAAGAAGGTAAAGTTATGGTAGAATATTAAAATATGTAGTTATATCTTATAGGCCCAATAGGTAGTGGCAAGGAGTCTTGATAGAGGTTGGAAAGATGGCAATCCATGCTAGTTACTGATGGTAAACTATTTGCTAAATATTTGATATATGACTCCCATTATTTCCACTCCTAAATATGAATGTTTCCAATGTATGATGGTTTGAAGGTGCCCCGCCCCCTACAACACACACACACACACACAAAGCATATGTTGGAACCTTACTTTCTCATGCGATGACTTGGGACATGGGACCTAATAAGATGCAATGAGTCTCAAAGTTTAGAGTGAATGGATTAACTTTGTTATCTTGAGAATGAGTTTGTTAGAAAAGTGGGAGTTTGGCTCACCCTTTTAATCTCTTGCCTCTGCCCTTCTGCATAGGATGACACAGCAAGAAGGCTCTTGCTACATGCCAACATTATTGTCTTGAATTTCCTAAATTTGTTTTTATAAATTAGTCTGTGTTATTTTGTTACAGCAGCACAAAATGAACTAAGATAGTTAATTTGTCCCCGTCCCACCAGTATTTGTTAAATGTGTTTGTGTGTGTGTGTGTGGGTGTGTGTGTGTGTGTGTAAACTATAATTGGGGGAGGATAGATACTGTGCCTTTTTAGGTTTCTGTAACAAGAGAAGCTTTATCCAGTGTTAATATATCCTACCAAGCAATACAGAGATGCTGGACTTCGAGATTAATGCTTTACTGAACAGAATTTTCAGATTGTCTCACTTGTAAAAGGAGTGAATGTATTTTGTATTGTAAAGAATTAACTGTAAATTAGTGGCTAGAGGATGAATTGTGATATCCTTGGTGCTATTCCATTAAGAAATTCTAGTTATCGTTCTTCTGGGCAAATAGGATTGCACCTCCCCTGCTCCTCGAAGATAGAGATACCTATATGATTTGCTTTGGTCAGTGAAATATGAGTGGAACAGACTCCTGGTACTTTTGCTTATCAAACATGGAAGAAAGTTCCAGTCTTTCCAGCCTCCCTAAACATCTAGTTGCTTGGTGAGAACCACCTGGAATGAAGGTCCCTCACCCCTGAAGAAGAACGTGTAGATTAAATTTTGTTTTGTTTGTTTTAAGGCACTAAGATTTTTGGATCCTTTGTGACTGCACCAAAGTGTTCCATCCTAACTAATGAAGACTACTACAGAAGCCATCAGGAAACCTACAAAGTCTAACCATCTTGGCAATTTATGTGTAGAAGTGGTAACTGAAACCATTCACTTATAATTTCAAAAGCACCTTCACTAGTGATTTCACCTGTCTCAAATGTGACTGTTCTAGGAAAGGTGTTTGTAAGATTTCCAACGTCACTGTTTAAAAAAAAAAAAGACTTTTATGAAGGTGTAATCACATCTTCACTACTGAGGTAATGACGAACAATACTTCTTCGCGCGGAGTGGGTAAGAAAGGTAGATGAAGATAAGCCATAAAACAAGGAGGGTGATACAGAACTCAGAAACATATTTCCCATAGACTTCTGCATAAATTCCCAGTAATACACTTCTCAGTAAACTTTGGGTGGCTTAGCCTTGGTTTGCCCCTCTGCAACTATACAAGAAATAAATGCATGCTCGCTCTGGTGCAAAAGTAAAAATCTAATTGAAGTCTAAATTTAACCAAAAAATTTCTTTCTCTCAGAAGAAGTTATTTTCTTTAGCATAGCGCAGAATTCACTCCATAACAAATTTAAAGTGCTGATCATGCCACATCCTGGCACTGTACTAGGGTAGGGCGAATGAAAGATGCCAAGGCACAGAAGTCTCAGGGGGTGGTTTCCCTCCAGGAGTTTATATTTTGCAGATCATAAAAAATTCCCTCCTGGAGTTTTCAGCCAGCTACGTCCTCTCCCTTAAATAACTTTCGGTGAAAAGTCTTTCATCTTTTTCCTAATTCTAGCAAGTATTTCCGCTTTGCAATGATCTCTTCACCTTGGAAACTGAAGTCACTGCGGCATCTCTGGACGTCTGGCAATTATTTCAGATGCAACTGAATAGTTGGCTTGCCCTTTCCCTGTAGTGACAAGATGACAGTGACCCCTCAAAGTTTCCAACACTTAAAGCACACTTGCAAGAACCAACAATTTTTGCACTTCCATTGTGGAAGCTAAAGCAGCGCATCTGTCTGGACAACGCCGGCAGTGTAAGATCCTGGGGGTAGGGAGTGGGAGTTTAAGCCCACCTTAGGTCCTGCGCCAAGAAGTCGAAGGCCACTCGGCTAGCTACAGCGTGCTAGAGGACCTGTGGGTGCTCATCTCGGCCAGACTACAACGCCCAGCCTGCACCGCGCCAACGCCGCAAGTTCCGCTTCGGGACATGGGCGCACGGGAGTCTGGGAAGTGAAGTCTCCGAACGGCCAGAGCCAAGGCAGAAAGGAGGCGTTGCTAGTCAGCTCCTTTAGCACGCGGGTTCCTGGCTCGGCTCCGGGTCTCTCGCTCCCGCTCAGGGTTTTCGCGGGCGGCGGGAGCGGTATGGCTCGCTTGAGTAAACTCCGGGGGAGGAGGGGAGAGAGGAGTGGATGGGGGGGCGGGGTCAGCGGAAGCGGCAGGTTGCTTCCTTCTCCTCAGGCTCCCTCCCCGCCTCTCCCTGAGGGAGCGGTGGGAGGGGGAGGGAAGGGCAGAGGGAAGGTAGTGACACGTGTCAATCAACCCCCTCCGGGGGGCGCGCGCTCCGGGGCTCGCGCCGAGGGCTCGCGCCCCTGCCTCGTGCCTGCGCCGCTCGTATGTAAATGAGGGCGCGTGACGCGGGACGCAGATGGACAAGGGAAGAGAGAGAATGGCCGCTGCCGCCGCCGCTGCTGCCGCCGCCGCCGCCGCCGCCGCCGCTCAGTGCCGGAGCCCTCGGTGCGCGGCGGAGAGGAGAGGATTCCGGCGGGAACTCGACTCTTGGCGCCACCGCCTCATGCACTGTGTAGGTAAGAGAGACACGGGTCGGGGCCCCGGGCTCCGTGCGGCGGCGGCTGCCGCAGCCCGAGGAGTTTGTGGCTGAGGGGTTTAGTTGAATCTCCGGTTCGGGTCAGTTCAATGGGGAGAGAGATGGGAGCGGCGGCGGCGCGGCGGCCCCGGCGCTCGCCTTTTGTCTCGGGGGCTCCTCGCCCCGCGCGGTCCGCGCTCGGTCGCCTGCCTTCTCGGCTCCCGGGCTCCCAGGGAACTGTTAGTTCGGACCCGCTCGCCGAGCCCGGAGGAAGCCACTCGCTCGCGCTCTTGCCGAAACTCCTCGGTGCCCGTATCGCCGCCAGCGGTCCTTGCTGTCAGGAGGGGGAAGCGGCCGGGCTGGTCGGCGCCCTGGCCGAAGGGAGCCGGCGGGCAGGGCAGCGGGAGGAAGGCGGGCTGGTCCGCGCCCCCGCCGAGCGCACACACACCCCCTTCTCGTCGCCGGGGGCCGGGCTGGCGGACGCGGCCGAGTTCCCGGGGATCCGGACCCGGGGGTCCCCCGGGCGCTCGCGGGGCGGGGGCCGCGGGTGGGTCCGCGGGGGGCGAAGGCGGGGGGCGCCGCCCGAGGGGCGAGGGGCGTCCAACTCTGCCCTCTCGCGCTCGGCGGTGGCGGCGGCGGCTCTGTGTGTACCCCTTTAAGAAGGAGCCGCTCGAGCGCTGACGGTTGGGATTTGAAGTTCTTCCTCCCTCTTTGGAAGTCTGGACGGCCTGGGGGTGTTGCCACGGCAACGGCACCCTCTCCCCCCCCCCCCCGCACCCCTCCGCGCGGACGCCCCGACTACTCCGGTCCTTTCACTGTCATGTGATGGACTCTCCCTGCACACACACTCGCGTCGCCCTCCCCGGCTCGCAGCCCGGTTCAGCTGCCAGGCTGCCTTCCCGGGGGAGGGGGTCCGACTCCTTTGCTCCAAACTTCTGGACTAGGGGCTCTCGTTCTGTGGGTTGCTCGGGGTGGCGGGAGATGGCGGGACTCCCCACCTTGCAGCAGCCTTTTTTTACCCGCGTGAGACTTGCGCCTGGAGCTGGTGGGCAGGCTGGTGGGTGGGCGTGGAGGGGCCGGAGCGGTAGGGCCGGGCGAGCTGCGCCGGTTTGTGTATCGGGGGTGTGGGTGGGACTGGGTGCCGAGAGTGGGAAGGAAGGTTGCGTTGTGTCAGCGGTGGGCGATGGCCCTGCTTTTTCTGCTGGCCAGTAAATATTGGCATTTGGAGTTGGGGAGTGACCTTAGTGCCTTAAGGAAACAACTGTCTCACCTTGTTTTCATCTGTTCCTGCGCCACCTCGCGCCCCTTCCCCCTCCCCACTCCCTAGGTTTGTTTGGTTAGCTCCTGAAGATCTCTCCTGCTTTCACTGGTGGGGCGGAGGTCCTCCTAGGTTACACCAGTGACAACTTCGATTCCGAAAGGTGCCCTGCAGAATGGGATGCTTGTAGGAAAACGTACGTGAAGGAAGACTGCTCCGATGAGGGGCGTTTAAGTGCTGTTTAAGACCTGTACTGTTTTATTTTATCTATATAAAATATGTTTTGGTGTTATCTGAGGAAGTTAAGGGAAAAAGCTTTAGTCAAGTGTTCATAAGTGATTTCAGTCATAAAAAACCTCTGGGAATTCTTTATACCAAGTGTGTTGGTATTTGTTCTTTTTGAATACAAAATGGACCTATCTTTATTATTACGTATGTGAAGATCTTTTCTGCTGAAAAAAAAAACTGCATAGAAATTGTTGAGTTTATTAAGGTAGAATCAGGTAGGATGACAGCATTGTAATATTGGCTCATGCCGATACTATGTTTGCCAAGGGATACAGTGATTTAAGGTTGTCTTTGGTCAGTTTTTATTTTAGAATATTTTGGGAGTATGTTTTTCTCTTGCTTATCCAGATGCGACTTTGCATCGCAAAGCTACTTGTACCTTTGAAAAAATCAAATTTTAATGAGACACAAAATTAACCGAATTTGATGGAAAAGGGAATTCAATTATATTTCTGACTTACCTGCTTCAATACTCAAGTAATATTGGAAAACACTGAAAATTGAGTTGATACTGTATATCTAACAGACAATCTATGCTACTCTTTTAATATAACACATAATTGTGCATGAAATGATTTTTTTTTTCCTGGGTTCTACCTATATTTGAGAATTGTATTGTTTCTTATAGTCTCAGTTCTAGTCAGGAGACCTATCTCATACTTGGTTTTTGTCACCATTATTTTTAAATAATAGAACCATTTTAAACATGGTATATACTTGTTGATTGGGTTTGTGTGTGTGTGTGTGTGTGTGTCCTGTCATACTTATTTATGGTCTAAAAGTAGTTTGTGTAATTATTTTGAGTCAACTTTTGCTATTAATATGCTTACATTCATTACTTTGTAAACATATTTACAAAAAGCCAAATTTTTTTTGCATGTGTGACTTTATATTTCTATATTTAATAGTCATTGCTATTACTGCTTGAAATTATTTTTATAACATAATACCCTTTTTGCCTTTGGGCGGGGGAAATGATCCAGAAGTTTTACTTGTAAGATAAGAAATTGTTAGGCTGCTTCTCAGGGTTATACAGCAACTTAGTGAACTCCTAGAGAAGTTTTGAATCTCAGCACTTACCTTGACTCTTTTAAGGTAATTGATTCAATTTTATTAATATAGTCAAAATTTATAAAGAAGCAAGTTATTGTAGTTGTCAGTGACTGCTTATAGTTAATTGTAAAGGTAAAATGCTTGACTCCCGTTATAAAAAAGAGGTATTTACCTTCTTCTAATTTTGGAATTTATCTCTTTAACTTAGGTTTTTGACCACTCTTTTGATTCATTCCTGCTTTTTGTTTTAAAAAATGGAGAGTCGTCCCTCTTTGTCCCAAATAATGGTTCTGTTTTCAATGTGGAGATTTATACAATTTAATGCTTTGTTTATAAGCATCATGTAGTATGTGAGTGTGCTCACTTTAAAAAAGGTTTGCATGCTTATTGGATGTAGTAAATAGTACTTTGAATGATAATGAGCAATAATAGACATAGTCCTGAATCTTATGGAATATGTAAATGACTATCTGATGAGTCAAAATTAACAGAGTTAAGTCTAGAATAAAATAAATGTATTAGTACATTTAAAAACATCCAGACTTTGGTAGAGTTATTAAAATATCTGATTTGTGAGATAGGCCAATTTTGAAAAACTATTTTGACATAATTTTGATCTTACAAAAAAATTGGAACAATTTTTGCCAGTTGTTTCACATTTTGTTTTATTTGGCTTTATCATTCTTGCTTTATATTCACATATGTATTTCTGAACAATTTGTGAGTAATTTGAAAACATCATACCTTTTTACTCTTAAAATTTTTTTATGTATTTTTCCTAAAAACAAGGACATTATCTTATCTAACCAGAGTGAGTTATTAAAAACCGTGAGATTTAGTATTGACATAATATTATTATCTAATTTATAATCTATGTTCAAATCTTGTTTATCTGTTTTTTCTATAACCCTTTCCACCCAATACAAGATCCACTCTGAGATCATGCACCACATTTGATCATCACATCTCTTCAGTCTTTTCAAATTGGGAATACTTCCTCAACCTATTTCTTGACCTTGACATTTTTGAAAAGTACAGGCAGTTATTTTGTAGAATATGCCTCAGTTTGAATTTGTCTGTTGTTTTCTCATGATTAGATTGGTTATGCATTTGGCAGGAATACCACTGAAGAGATGTTTTGTTCTTCTCAGTACATCATATCTTAAGGCTCATGAGGTTGATTTGTCCTAGTGTTGTTGATGTTAGCTTTGAAAATTTGGTTAGCGTGGTGGTCTGTATATTCCAACCTGAAAGTTATTATTTATTTCTCTGTAATTAACATGCAGCTTATGGAAAAGTATTCTGAATAACAGGATGTTGTCAGAGTCTCAATCAAAATTTTACCCACAAGTTTTAGCATCTATTGATGATTTTCCAGTTTCATTCCTTCAGCAGTTATTAGAAGTTGACATTCTGTCATAAATCAGTCTTTCCTCTCTTCTCCCTTATTTGTTTATTCAGTCAGTTTTTTTAAATCAGCATGAATTCATATTCAATGGCTTAATCTATCATTATCATCATTTTGATTCTCAAAATATACCGGGTTTGGCTAACAGGAGCCTCATCAGGATGGTTCCTGTGTATGGTGGTTTCCAGGTTCACGTACTTTACTTGTCCCAGCTGTAGCATCAGCTGTTTGTCCCAAGTAATTTGTTCTTTTAGTGGAAAATAAATTTAGATACTCAAATTGAGCAGTAGGTTTTAGGGCTATTTTAAAACCCCATTTCTTCTAATGCTCATAATCAGTGTTAACAGTTTTTCCTGAGATCATACAGCAAAACAAGTTGGCAAAGATTAGGTTAGAATCATTTTATAAACTCTAGAATCTTGCCTACATAATACTACATTTCATAAAAATACAAGGGTAGCCAAATATTTTAAATCTTTTGGTAGCCACATGAAAAAGCACATTTAATTTAATCCAGTGTATTCAAAATATTATCATTTTGACATTTACTCATATAGAAATTATTAATGAGTTGATTTATATACTCTTCTTAAGTAAGCCTTCAAAATTGGGTATTTTACATTTATAGCATATCTCATTTTGGACTGGCTACATTTCAGTGGTGCTTACTAGCCACATGTTGTAAATGTTTACCTCATTGGGCACTTCCTTTCTTGGTTACTGTGTACCGTTTACCTTAAAATCTCATGATGGTAAACAAACCTATAACTTAATTTATTTTTTCTTCAAATTATTTTCTTGGGTATTACAGAACAGAAAATAAGAAAATGGGCTCTTGAGCTAGACTTCTTGTATTTGAATCCTAGTGTTACGTTTTAGGGTATAGACAAGATTCTTCTTTGTACTTGAGTTATTTCATCTGTAAAATGGAGATAATTAGATTGTTTGAGAATTAGTTGTGTTGATATAGGCTAATATGTGTTTTCCATACAGA